TAAAATGATTAAATTGCACAGAAACTATATCTCTCAAACCTTTTTAATCATCATACCCTTAAAAATGTGTGTTGGTTAATTGATCATAATTGCTCTGTCCCTTCCCCTTCTTACCCTATATTATAATTATCTTACCCTATATTATACTTATCAGATTGTAATTTTCTCTTTAACTCTCTGTCTCTTTCTTTCACTGTCTCTGTCTCTGCCTCCTCTTCCCCTGTCTCTGTATCTATTTGTCTTTCCACCCAACCCAACCCCACAAGTATAGACAAGTATACTGTTAGTTCCTTTTGGATCAGAGCTGGGATCTTGCTTCATTTTTGTCTGTGTATCCCAATACCTGGTACAGTGCCTTGCACATAGTAGGCACTTAAATGTTTGTCAAATGAATCTATCACCCTATTTTGTAAATCATACCTGCCTACTCTCCCTCACTAAGTTGTTGTGAAGATTAAATGAGGTAATAGATGGACCATAATACTCTCCTCCTCCCCCTAGCCCCCCAAGGGGAGGCTGATCTTTACTGGCTAGCTAGTACAGTGAAAAGTGCAGTGATTCGGGAACAGAACATATGTTTTCATCTAGTCTCTATTGCTATTAGACCTTGGGCAAGTCACTATACCTCCTTGGGACTCAGTTACCTTTTCTGTATCAGATGCCTTTAATGCTCCTTCCATATCGAGATAAGTGGTCCTATGATGCCCTTGGCTATCTTCTATTCCCTACCAAGGATGGTCTGGCGCTCTAAACATGGGTGAGGATAATCCAGAACTCATCATAGCATCATAATATCTAGACCTGATAAGGTCTTAGAGATCATCTAATCTGACACCATTTTGATAAAGAAACTGAGACCCTGAGAAGAGATGGGAACTAAGGCCACCCAGGGAGTCGATGGCAAAACCTGGATTCAAACCCAGGTCTTCTGATTCCAAATCCTGTGCTTTCTATACTACTTTTCACTCTCTATGCTATTTTCTATACTCTCTCTGGACAGCTAGGTGGTGCCATAGTGAGCAGAGTATTGGGCCTGGAGTCAGGAAGACTCCTTTTCTGAGTTCAAATCTGACCTCAGACACTTACTAGCTGCGTGACTCTGGGCAAGTCACTTAACCCTGTTTACCTCAGTTTTGTCAGCTGTGAAACAAGTTAGAGAAGGAAAAGGCAAACCAATCAAGAATCTCTGCCAAGAAAACCCCAAATGGGGTCATGAAGAGTTAGACATGGCTGAACAACAACATACTCTCTCTATTATACTTTTTGATTCTGAGATTGTCATTCCCTTGCTCAAAAGCCTCAGGCTTCCTATTACCTTTAAGATAAAGTACAGGTTTTTTAGCCTGGCTGTATAGATGGGAATAATTACTATTACCATTATTAACAATTTTGAATATCATTATTAATTAAACCAATAATAGAGAACCTTGATCTTAAAGAAACACACAAGACTAGATCATCATAAATATTAATAGTTAATAAGAATAATAGAAAATAGTTGAGCATCTTCTCAAATTCTTTACGTTGGTTCAATAGAACAAATCTTTAAAGGCTCCAGTGTAACCTTCGCCCGCATATTCTTGGTTCCTGTTGGGAAGCCTTTGTGGGCAGGTCTCGGCTCTTGGCATGAGTCTTTGGCTAACATTACACACAGCATCAACATAGATGGCAATCTGAGCAACTGTCTGCGAAATCCAAGGAAAAGCAGTATAGTATCCCAAATTTTCTGAGTCATTACAGCAGGAGCTATGTCTTCAAATACAAACTGAACTAAAAACCTTTTAATTGGAACAATTTGTTTTTAGTAAAAAGAAAAATGAGTCATTCTTGAAAAGAATATTTGGGTGGTGGTAGTGGTGGTGGTGGTGGTGATTATGACCTCCTTAAGGGCAGGGACTGTCTTTTTGCTTGTGTTTGCATTCCAAATGCTTACCATGGGTTCTGGCATATAGTAGGTGCTTAATAAATATTTATTGCTTGCCTGACTGATTGACGACCGAAGGGCTGTCATAGGGAAGAGTGGTTAGACTGGTTCTGCTTGGTCCCAGAAGGCAGAATTAGCCACAGTGAGTTAAAGTTGCAGTCAGGCCAGTTTTAGGATTGATGTAACAAGGGGTGGATTGTTAAATGTTAATGACCAGATGTCAGAGAAAAAAATATGCCAGACACACTTATAGTTTAATCTGCATCATTAACATTTTCTCCAACACTTTCTTAAGTTTAGCTAATCAACAAAACAATAAATCAAGCTTTGATTTATAGCATTTTCTGATTTCTGAACTGTCAATGCTCCCCTGAAAATTTAACAGTTGGCTCTTGGGAACAGGTATGAGCCGCTCCAGTACACCTCAGCACATCCCTACACACAAAGGAAAACTTCCATGGCAACCAGAGATATCCAAGGTATCCAAAAGGATCATGGGCTGCCTAAGCAGGTAGTGAGTTCCCATTCATGGGGAGCCTTCAAGCAAAAGCTAGATGCCCACTTGTCAGGTATGTTGAAGAGTGGATTCTTGTCAAGGTATGGGTTGGATTGATTGGTCTTTGAGGACCTTTCCTACTCCAAAATTTTGCAATTTTGTTTTTCTTTCTGGAAAAACAGTTTAATGGAAATTTTCTTTTTTTCTAAAAAAAAACCCAACTCTTTAGTCAAAATGATTAAAGTGTGTGTGTGTGTGTGCAGAGAGTATTGAGTTCAACCCCGTCATTTTATGAGGAGACAGAAGCCTTGAAAAATTAAATGACTTAAGGTCAGATAGCAAGAGTTAGGGTTAGGCAGACTGAGAATAGAACAAAAGGTATACTTTCTACCATAGTACGGGGCCTCTCCATTATGATTCTCTTTTTGGGGCATGGAAATTCTTTTATATCATTTGTACCAATTTATATTTTATTAAGTGGATTTTTTTAAGCCCCTAGCATCACTGAGGATCTAAAATTCTCTGTTGGAAATGTTTTTTTGGTTGTTATTGTTGTTGAGTCATTTCGTTTGTGTCCGACTCTTCATGACCCCATTGGGGGTTTTCTTGGCAGAGATACTGGAGTGGTTTGCTATTTCCTTCTTCAGCTCATTTAGCAGATGAAATAACTGAAGCAAACAGGGTTAGGTGACTTGCCCAGCTAGGAAGTGTTTGAGACCAGATTTGAACTCAAATCTTCCTGACTCCAGGTCCAGCATTCTATACACTGCACCACCTAGCTGCCTTGTTGGAAATATATTGTATATTTATTTATCTATGTGCATGTTGTTTTCTCCCAATAGAATTAAACTCCCTGAGGGCAGGAATTATTTCAGTTTTGTTTTTGTTTATGCAATGGCTAGCACTGTGTCTGATATTTAGTAGGCATTTAATAAACACTTGATAATTGAATCATCACATTAGCCTCTTGAAGTCATGTCAGAGCCTAGCCTAGCACCCAGAAAAACAGACGTCTGTAGAGTTTAAATAGTGAGAGATGAGGGAGTGAGTATCCTTTTCCTCTGGGGTGGCCGATGGTGTGTTGAGACTTTTCTGGCCAGGCCCTTCTAAGGATTTGCCTGATCAGAGATTTTACACATTCCATCTGGTTTAGGCACTGCCAAGGAGGAGAAGAAGCAGAAGGAAAGCAGCAGCAAACTTGGGGGCAAATGAAAACAGGACAGCATAAAGGAAATGAAAGTCCGAGAGCAAGAGCTCAGTCAATCCAACAGCAAATATTTGCTAAATACTGGGAACGTGCCCAATATTCGCAAGATCCTCGGTCCAGAGGTTCATCAGGGGAGAACTAGGCAGCTTTAAAATGAAATGTACTGAATTCTCCTTTTGATAACTGGCGACTTAATTGTTGCTTACGTGGTTTATTAAACGAGATAACTTATACGTAAAATGTTTCAGAAACTGTAAAGATATCTATCTCAGCCACAGTTTCCTTATCTGTAAAATGGGATATATCATGCCAACTTACCTCCCAATGTTGTTGTGAGGATGAAATGACATATTTGTAAAGCACTTTGCAAACCTTAGAGAGCTCTATAAATACTAGCTATTATTATTAATAGTATTATTATCTGTCAGTTTTTGTTATTGTTGTTATATTTTTTCAGCCTATAAATGATTAGCTTAGCTGGTTGGAGTATATTGTAAATGATATTAAGGCCCAGCTCCAGTAGCTGTCTTTTACATGAACCCTTCCTGTTTCTTTTAATGCCCTACCCCCACTCCCTTCTCCCAAATATCTTATATCTATTTTGTATGTGCTATATATGGACATGTTTCCCCCACCTAGATTGTAAGTTCCTTGAGGGCAGAGACTGTCTTGATTCTGTCTTTCTATTATCTAACACAAATACTTGTTGACTTATTCTTAATCCATCTGATGTCTATGTGGAACAAGCAGTAGGCTTGAAGTTGAGAATTCTGGCTTTATTAATCAATCAATCAATATTTACTAAGGGCCTACTTTAGACTCACTCTTGCTAGCTGTGTGATATTGATCAAATCTCTCTGAGAGTAAAGATAATGCCATATAAATCCCAAAACACTATATATAGATGCAAGTTATTATTATTAACTTAGTTCTGTTGTATAGCCCCTAACCTTGGTAGATCATCTTACTTGTCCTGTGCCCACCATGGTCACAAGGGAGACTGGGCAAGTGCACATTCTTGATGTCCTCAAGTGGAAAGTAGTAAGTTTCCTGTTACTGGAGATCCTCATGGTTCCACTTATCAGGGATGTTGTAACAGTGATTCTTGCTTAGGATTAGGTTGGCCTGGATGACCTTGGAGATCCCTTTTGATTCCAAAAGAGAATGACTCTCTGGCCTACACAGCTTGCAAAAGCTCTGAAAGCACATTCTTAACTCATGATGAGTCACTTATGCTGTTGTTAGGTACAGAGGACAGCTTTATGTGTGGATTTTTAAATGTGGATCTATGTGTGGCTTATGGGGTCAACAGAATCTCTTTTGAGGATGCCAACTAGTAAAATGTTGGTGGTTTATTTCACCCACAAAGCCTATTTGGTTTAAAACATAAGCATTTATTTAAATGGTCAGTAGGTCCAGCTACTGTTTAGGTCCTTCCTTCATCAAAATACATCAATGCTTTGAATAGATGCTTGGTTATCTAGAGAGTAAGGTAAGGATTTGTGTAAGATGGCATTCTAACATTCCCAGAAGACACCGCCACTTAATTTCCCAAACTGTGTCCTTTCTATATTGGCCATTCCTCCTCTGCTTTTCTCTCATGTCCTTGCCCTACCTTTCAGTACGAGTGATTTGGGTAACATGTAGGTGAAATGCTACCCTAAATCCTGTAGGTGATAGTGAGGTTGAGGGAGATGATGGCAAGTAAGCCCTCTCCTCTGCCCTGCCTCCCTTTTCCCCATCAAGGTAGGGAAAATGAAGTTTGGTATATATTAAAACCACATGGTCAGCAGCTTCAGTTGGACTATCTCAGAATTCTTAAGAGCACCTTGGGATTCTACCCAAACTAATCTGACAGACAGCCCATTTATTTAGTCAATTCCAATGTCAGAAAAGTAGACCGAATTAATTGATGAAACATAAAACTTCCCAATTTCACTTTTTCCTAATAAGACTGTTCAGGAAAAAAAAGCCATCTGCTCTTAAGAAACCCAGAAAGGAAGTTGACATATGTTAGCATTTCCACTGCCTATTGCTTGAAGAGATACTGAGCATGGGCTGCATAAGGCAAAGCTTCTTTTTTTATCAGAAAGGCGAGATAAGGCCAAGAGTTCCTCAGAGGAGAGTGAGCCTTAACTGACGGAAGACTGGGCTACTTATCATTCAAGTACGTGTCACAAAGATGGTAAAAATAGGTACATCTTGGATAACCATGTCCAAAGCATGACATCTCCAACTCCCACACATTTATTTCAGTGAATTAAAGCCTGATTCATTCTCTATTCTTTAAATTCTTCCAAAAGGGAAACTAGAAAGAAAAAAGCCAGTTCATGCACAAAGAAAATACAAGGTCAACTATGTTGAATAAATAATTGAAAGGAACTGGAGTCTCTGAATTGAACCATCCCCCACGTACTATCCAATAACATGTAACACTGCTACCCCTTAGGAGTATGAAATAATGGATTTGTTTGATAACAAATAATATCCATTTTGACTATGTAGTGGACCAGCAGAGAAACCAAAGTAATTGATGGCCCCTGGTCCCCTTTGTGCCCTGGCAGTGGTAAAGTTTGGGCTTCAAAATCCTTGAAAGGGCTCTGTTGGGAAGACAGCTGTGGCACATGAAGCTCACTGTACTTTATGCCCCTGATCCACTTTGTAGTCAGATCCATCCAGCTGGCATCTGCACATTCAATCGTAATTGAATGATGTGTTGGTGGGGCCTGGTGGTAATGAATTGTAACTCTGCATTCTTGGCATATACATTCTTAATTGTCATCTTTCCATAAAGCAGCATCTGTTAATCAGTTTTCTGACATGGAGTGTGACCTAGATCAAGGTGATGACCTCCTTAGGAACACTGCTGTCCATGTGAAACCTTCATTCCTTACTTCCCTATTCCCTTTCATGTTTATTTTCATAGATTATAATACATTATGGATCCATCTGCACTCTTCATACTCAGTAATCTTAAGATAGTTTTCTGCTAACATTCAACTCTTCGACTTTGTGTTCCTTTTTTTCCCGCCATCTTCCCTGCCCATTCCCCACCCCCCATTGCATCTACTTCTCTGATTTTTTTTTTTACATTCTCCTCACCCAATTCTGTTTCCCCAAGATCCCCTTTGGGTGCTTCAAAGTCCAACCTTATTCCTGTTGGACATATAGCTAAAAGGGTCAATTGTAGTAGTGCTTCCAAATAACTAGTTCCATGTAACATCTTTAGAGTCTTAGATTTTTTTTCTTTCCTCCTTTCCAAGATTGCCTACCGCAGTTAACATTGTCAGCACCAGTGTATAGCTTTGTACAAGAGTATGCCTTTTGGTACCTCCCCTCCCCCTCTACCTTAGAACAGTATGCCAATATTTTCCTCTTTTCTGGCTTGACAGGTGATCAGGTACTACCTACATCCACATTCTGCCACACTCATTCCTTCATATTGGTATTTTAAAGTGGGCACTCCAACATCATCTTTGTAAAGGATAGAAATTGGGTTCAGTTTGGTGGGCACACAGCAGGCTTTCCCAGCTTTCATGGGATTTTTGAGATGCACTAAAGTCTGAACAATGGCATGCTTAGTTGGAGTCACATCATCGGCAAGAGGGAAGAAGCAGACTCCTTTACATTCATATGCATCATACTCCTTTGGGGCAATGATCCAATTGTCCCAGCCAATATCCTTGAAGTTGACTCTAAGGGAGCTCCTTTGGCAGTGGTTATTGGGAGTTGTACTTCTTTTGTTTCTGGATGAAAATGGTCTCCTGACAGAGAAATTCTCTATTTCTTCTTCCATTTCCTCCTCTTCCTGAGTGCTAACATTCTTGGACAACTTCTTGAGCACGCTCTCTTGCTCATGACCTATCATTTCTCTGAGCTCCATCTTGGTTTCCTTTGTCCCATTGCTGCGGTCATCAGAGAACACGACAAAGAAGGGCAAGTTTTTGGAATCTGGGGGGACGCTGATGTCTAGTTTTTCACATCCTTTCATGTGACTTTCCACTCTGATTTCCAGTTTGTTTTTGTTCTTTGTTGGGTCTGACCTGACCCATCGTTTCACTGCACTGGAGACCTCAAATGTTTCCCATCCACTTTCTTGGATGACCTGGGACACGAGGAAGGACTTGGTCCCCTCTGTGCCTTCCCAGAAGTCTGTTCCACCTTGGATGTCATAAATGGCAATGTTGCCTTTCAGTTCATGGGGCAATTCAGCATGGCTTTGACATGAAATATAGAGCCGGAGCTCAGCCCTGGTGATTTGTTCATGTCTTGGGATAGAGATGTTGAAAAGTAAGATGTGCTTCTGGAAGGGATGTCTGTCTGTCGAGGACACGGAGACAACATCTGCAATGGAAACACACATACGGTGACCTGATTTATTTTACTTGGCTCATTCAGTTTTCCTGCTTGAAAGCCCCAAAGCTAAATGCATTCATCTAGTCCAACCATTCCCCCCCTCTTATTTTGCAGTTGAGGAAACTGAGATCCAGAGGGATAAAGTGAATTGCTTAAGACCCTATTAGTTAGTAGTAGCAAAGCCAGGGCCCAGACCCAGGTCTCTTGGTTAATAATCTCAAATTCTTACTGCTGTATTGAGCTATCTCTTCCCTCCCTCCCTCCTTTTTCCCTTCCTTCCTTCTTTCCTTCCTTCTTTCTTCTTTCCTTCCTTCCTTCCTTCCTTCCTTCCTTCCTTCCTTCCTTCCTTCCTTCTTTCCTTCCTTCCTCCCTCCTTTTCACAAATATTTATTGTTCACTAATCACATACAAGGCCCTGTGTCTGATGCTGTAAAAGAATTACAAACAAGAATAAGACAGCTATTTTACCTTCAAGGAGCTTACAGATTGCTGAAAGGCGGAAATGACACATACACAAGTAATTTTAATACATAAGAGGCAAAATGGTACATTGACAAGAACATTGTCATTGGAATTAAAGGACCTGATCTGAATTTTGTGTCTGACACTTAATAACTCTGTGACTGGACAAGGCCCGACACTTATGTGAGCCTCGGTTTCTTCATTTGTAAAACATAGATAACACCTATCACATAGAGTGGCTGTGAGGATGTGAGATATAACAGTAATCATAACAACAAAGATAATCCCTTGGTTTACATAAGCATTCCAGATTTTAGTGTTGATTTGGCATCACCAAAAAATGACGTTTGATCCATTGTTTGCCTTTACAGAAGATAGAAATCATAACGTTTCTTTATGAAGTATTTTTAAAGAACTTCAAATGAAAGAAATTTAGTAATTTCAAATCACCATTGCAAATGGAGGTAGAAGAATGATGTATCATAATGAGCGCAAAGTAATCTGAAGTGGATTCCTGTGTTTTCCTAAGGTCTGATTTATTGCTGCCAGCCTTAAATTGACACCTTGAGAATTTTTTTTAAAGGGCAGTGAGTGGGAGGGAGAAGTGAAATTCCAATGTTAGGAAAAGAACTTGATCCAGAGACTGAAATGGTTCAGCAATCAGCAGAGACTACATACTCTTAATTGAAGTTGAGGATTATCAGGGTAATTTAAGAAAAAAATACTTTGATCTCCACTATCATTATTGGGGTAGAGGAAAGGGAGATTTTGCCTAAATTCCCCATATCATTTCCTTAATTCTCCACTTCACTTTGCATCTGTAAATATGGCAATAGAGGGCTTTCCGTAATGATAATGCAGTCACTGCTTTTGATACAGGGAAACCCTTGATAAGACTAGCGTCGGGGGCAAATCTAACACCCATTTATTTTACAGCATCCTCCTTAAATTGGGCTTGAGGAATATGATTTATCCTGTGGTATGCTTGACATTTTTTTTCAGTTCTGGAATTGTGATTTAATTGATGTAGAAAAACTTCTAGTGAGGAAGTTCCCTCTATCAGTACAGACTGGCAACTTCTGCAACTTATATAATCTTAGCAATCTTATCCAAGATCTCCCAGTCAATGTATGTTTCAGACAGGACTTGAACCCGGGTCTTTCTGACTCAGAGGCTAGTTTTCTGGCTACTATACCACATTGCCTCTCAATGGAGTTCTACCATATGCCAAATAACCGCAAAGTCATTCCCACACCACATTCATTTTAAATGAGTTTAGACAACAGGGAGATGGTTAGCCTGGAAGTCAGGAAGACCTGGGTTGAAATTTTGCCTTTAACATTCATTAGCTGTGTGACCATGGGGAAGTACTTAACATTGAAGTATGCCAGGATTCTTTCTCAGGCAATAAATATTTTTAAGTGTGTCAATAAACATTTATCGTGCCCCCACTATGTGTCAGGCACCGTGCTAAGCACTGGGGATGCAAAGAAAGGCAAAAGACAATCTCTGCCCTTGAGGAACTCACAATCAGTCTCTAAGTTATTGATGAGTTGTCAATCTGCTTTGGTGGATGGAGTTTTCATGCTGGGAGTTCCTAAACTGATGAAACCACAGGTCTCAAACCAAAAAAAAAAAAGGCAAGCAAATATTTGGGAGACAAATCCATCCTCCTGCAAATTCCTACTGAAAAGAAAGGTTAATCCTCTAATTAACCAAGCTGCACTTTTAGAAACTTTAAGAAAACCCCAAATAGGGTCATAAAAAGTTTAATGTGATTAAAAATGACTGAACAACAACATAATCAATACATCTGTTTTTATTTGTGTCTGTTGATGCTTTCAAAACAATCTGTACCAATGCCTCCAAATTCATTCTAATTAATTGCTGGGTACAGTTGGGGAGACCTACTGTGGTCACTAACACAATCTCAAGCTACCTGCCCACTTGGTTTCTCAACTTCATAGGCTTATAGAACATCAGAATTCTGTGGTATTCTAAAGATTGTTTATAACAAACCACTCATTTCTGTAGATGAGGAAAATGAAGCCTAGAGGCAAAGCGAGTTGTCTAAGTCGCACAGCAGGTTAGTGAAAGAAGTGGAAATAAAACCTAAGTCTTCTGGCTCGTGAATCAGTATGCTACCACTACAACTGGTCATCAAACCATATAAGCTTCTTGTGTAAAGGAAACCATAGATTGTTTAATTAGAGACTGAGGGATGGCAGAACCAAGGAAATTATCAAAAGTTTTCCTTTTCTGTCTTTCTTTCTTTTTTAAACCTACTGACAGGGTAGAAATAACAATCATTTTTAAAGGCCTGAAAATCCAGTATGTGAACTCCAGGGACTGACAAATTGGCTAATTCATTAAATAATATGGAGAAAGAGAAGTGACTCCCCAAATTAACACCTCTAGCTCTTCATCTTCAACAGCTTGTTACTTGGAAGTACAGAAGAAATCGAGGGGTCATTGGCAAAGACCCATGCAATATAGAACTGATGAATTTATCAACACACACATTTATTAAGTACCTCTTATAGTCCAAGCACCCTGCTAAGCTATACACAGGGAATATCAAGAAGACCCTTCCTCCCCCACGTTTATCCATACCTTCAATGCTGAAGCTTCTCACTATGTTGGATGCTGGAGTGGACGATTTGTCGGTGGTGTATCTGTTGTACAGATCAATCATGAACTGAGGCGTCTCCACTTTGGTCCTGTCTTGGGAAGGGACACCTGATAAATTCAGGCTCCTCAAGAAATCCACTTTCATGTTCTCCAAGAACATTTTGAAGTCAAAGCTCATGTCATCCTCCCCCTTCATAGCCGCCCCGAAGAATTTGTTGGTGCTTTCCACGGCAGGCACCCTCTCCCAGTTCTCCATGGGCTTACCTCGCCCACAGCAGGCCAGGAAAGATAAAGCAAGCAGACCAGCTAGCAAGGCAAAATAAGGCATTTTGGGGGGTGGGGGTGTGCCCTGTCTGCCAACAGGATGAAAAAGGAGCCCAGGTTACTCCAGCTTGAGACAGTTGATGGATTAGATCCTGGAGGAGGGAGAGAAAATGAAGGAATAGCCTTGGAACATCCCGTTTCCGCAGGCTTTTCTAACCACAATCTCTCATCAGTTGTCAGCCAGGCTGGCCATACACTTGTAACTTATCTGAATTGCCTCAGTGGTTCTTATCTCCCAAAGCTCTTAGTTTTAGTTAATGATGATTCTATAAACATCTGACAAACACAAATGGCTTGTGGGAAGAACATTGTATACTGTAAAGAATTCGCATTTCACTTTGGGGTTATCGGCTGCTTAATTAGTTTTTTTTTTTCTTTCTTTCCCTCCTCATTTCCTTGCCAGCTCTGAGCTGAAGAGGATTGGGATGTGGTGGGGGGCAGGGAATGTCATGCGCTCAGAGTTTTGCAGGCCCCTGAATTTGGGGTGTGTATGTGAGGGGGGAACAGGAGGATAAGATTCAATGAGGACAGAAACAAACTTGGTTTTGCCACACCACTGGCACAAAGTACTGAGCTCTCCAGACTCTGAGAGTTTTTGTAAATCAGGTTGAATTCAAGCATCAAAGAATAAGCTTCATGACCCTAAACACATTTAAAAAAATACAAATAAACTTTAAAACCCCCCTCCCATTTTATCAGCCTAGAGCTCCTATTTGTTCAAGAACAATATCTGTTTTGTGTCAAGTTGGTCTTCAATTGTCCCTTTGGAGACTGTTTTTTGGAGGGTTGTGCATGTGTATGTGTGTGTGGCGGGGGTGGGGGGAGTGTGAGACACCCTGCTTCTGGAGGGAATGTTATGCAATGTTTCCTCTCAATTTTGTACATGAGGTTCTGGGTTAAGTCCCTGAGCCCCAAATGACCAGTTATGGTTTCAGTGACCTGAAAATGACGATAAGCCTGAGGCGTGTGCATGTGTCGCCTTCATCCTTTTGAGTAAAAAGTGTATTTCCTGTTACTGAAGTCTATATACAGATTTATTTTTAGGGGGTGGGGGGTAAAGTTCACATGTGAATATTGACTAAGGCCCAGTGAAGATCAAGTCTAAAAATAAGTGTTGTGGGTGTTTGGTTGTTTATTCTAGGGAAAGATTTATGAATGGCATTATGTTGTTCCCTTTCAAGAGGTTGCAATTAGCTGAACCAATCTTCTAGGGTGTAAGGTTAAGAAGGAGGGAATAGCAACACTCATACTCCCTACTATTTTTATTCATTTTCATTCTCTCCCCCGGCTTGGGGGTATGTAGAGGTGAGAGATAAGCTGTCAGAAGCCCATGCTAGCTTAGTCAACATGGACACTACTTTTTTTTTCCCCTTCTCTCCCCTTTCTACTCAGAGTGGAGGGCCAAATCAACCAATCAATCAATTTGTAAGTTGAGTTCTAACTATGTCCTGGGCACTGTCCTAAATTTTTTTATTTTTTTAATTAATTTATTTTGATTTATCAACAATCACTTCCATGAGCTTTTGAGTTTTAAATTTTTCTCCCCCTCTCTCTCCACCTCCCTCCCCAAGATGGTGCACAATCTGATATAGACTATACATATACATTCCTATTAAACATATTTTCACATTAGTGATGTTGTAAGTAAGAATTAGAACCAATAGGAGGAACCACCAGAAAGAAGAAACCAAGCACAACAGAAGAAAAAAAATAGCAAATAGTAAGCTTTGATCTGCATTCAAACTTCATAGTTCTTTCTTTGGATGTGGATAGCATTTTTCATCATGAGGCCTTTGGAGATGTGTTAGATCCTTATATTGCTGAGAAGGGTTAAGTCCATCAATATTAGTACCTAACTGATTATGTTATTTCCTTCTTGAACCAAATCTGATGAGATTAGGTTCAAACAATGCTCATCTCCCTCCCTTCTTTTCTTCTGCTATCATAGGTTTTTGTGCTTTTCCTATAATGTAATTTACCCTTGTCTGCCTCCTCCTTTCCTTTTCTCTCAGTACATATCCTTAGTTAGATCAGATTGATCCACTTACTTGGATCCATTTTAAGCCACTTGATTTTTTTTTTATCATTAGTCAAAGTCAACTTATATCCACCCCCTTTATGTATACCCCTTGAACATGGTGTAATAATAATACAGTTCTCAAGGGTGACTAGTATCATCTTCCCTTGTAGGGATGCAAACAGTTTGTCCTTATTAATAACATGTTATTTCTTTCTGTCCTGTTTAGCTTTTTATGTCTCTCTTGAGTCTTGTATTTGAAGATCAAATTTTTCTGTTGAGTTCCGGTCTTTTTATTAGGAAGGTTTGGAAGTCCCCTATTTCATTGAATATCAATCTCCTCCTCTGAAAGATCATGCTCATTTTTGCTGGGTAGTTGATCTTTGGTTGCAATCCAAGCCCCTTTGGCTTATGGAATATCATATTCCACACCCTCTGGTCTTTTAATGTAGAAGCTCCAAGGTCCTGCATAATCCTGACTGTGGTTCCATGATATTTAAATTGTTTCTTTCTGGCTGCTTGCAGTATTTTCTCTTTGACCTGGTAATTTTGGAATTTGGCTACTATATTCCTTGGCATTTTCAATTTGGAATCTCTTTCAGGAGGTGATCTGTGTATTCTTTCTATGGTTATTTTACTCTCTGGTTCTAGTACCTCAGGGCAGTTTTTTTTGAACTCTGTGCTACCTTCAACTTTGTTAATCACCTTCTTCTCCTTGATACTCTATTCCAGGGGTTCCCAAACTTATTTGGCTTATTATTCCCTTTTCAAAAAAAGATTACTCAGTGTCCCCTTGGAAGTCTACTTTCTTTAACCCTTTAATTTTTTAAAAAAAATTTTTGTCATTTCAAAAAAACAAAAGGTTTTTTTTTAAAAATGATACATCTTAAATTCAATAATTCATTGTAAATTTGTGAGTTTTTCCTCCGCATTGAAATTCTGGTAGCACAATATTGGGTCATGTAACCATAAAGTATTGTATTATAAACAAGTCATTACACGGACATATTCCTGCTGATGCATGCTGGACTTCCCGACAATGCATGACATGCTTGCCTGCAAATACTTGTTCATTAAGTAAGACCTGTTGGTGGACTTGACCACTGATTGGTTATAATTTGTATTTTGTGTGTTTATTTGGAAAATAATATAATCACTATGACTTTAACTCTGTTACACAACAGATGGAACATGTATGAACGGTTTTTCAAATTTTTCTTCTCTTCTTTCCTTATACTTCCACTGCTCCCTTATTTTTATTTAATGTCTCCCAATTGTACCCAGGCTACTACTGCTCCCCCACCCCCGTACCTCCCCATCCCCCCTTGCCTTGGATCATTCCATGTCCCTCAATTCAACAAACTCCAAAGGATCCTGAATTAACTCCAGTATCAAATGTAAAGTCCTCTGTTTAGAATTCAAAGCCCTTAATAACTTGCTCTCTTCCTACTTTTCCTGTCTTCTGCCTTACTCCCCTCCATGTACTCTAAGATCCATGGGCACTGGCTTCCTTGCTAGTCCTCAAACAAGACTCTCCATCTCCAGACTCCATGCATTTTCACTGGCTGTCCCCCATACCTGGAATTCTCTCTTTTCTCATCTCTGCTTCCTGGCTTCCTGCAAATTTCAGCTAAGATCCTAACTTCTGCAAAAAGCCTCTCCTGGTCTTCCTTAATGCTAATGCCTTCCTTCTGAGATTATCTCCAATTGTCAGAATACTTCAAGTAAAAATATCTTTATGAGACACTGAATTATTTGGATGATCTTCTAAGTTTCTTAATTATTTTTTCATGTATAGATATATCCCTGTGGCTAGATCTGTTATGTGCTCATCTGGTAGCTCTCTTCCTTTCTTGCTTCTATAACCCTCCTTAATGACCCTATCACTTCACATTCGGATTACTGCAATAGCTTACCAACTGGCCTTCTGCACCTGACCTCTGACCTCTTGCAATTGATCCTAAACACTGCTACTAGATTAATCTTTCTAAAATTCTCCTCTGTGCACTTTGCTTTTCCAACCCCATCCTTCCCCCAGTTCCCAGAATCATCTGTGACTCCCATTGACTATAGAATAAAGTCTAAGCTCCTTAGCCAGGCATTTAAGACCCTCCATGACCTACCAGAGTTCTTGTTTTGGATTGTCTGAGGTGATTTTATTTTGTAATACTTTTAGTATATGCAATGGACCAAAGAATAAAATCTATTTTAAAATGAATATTATCTTATTGTTAAAGTTTTCTGATACTAAATGGTTCATCTTTTTCCATCACTCATTTAATAATCATTATGTTCCTACTATGAGCCAGTAATTCTGCTGGGGATACAAAGACAGAAACAAAACGGTCTTTGCTTTTCTTATAAAGATAAACCAAGGAGTTGATAGAGCGTGTTTTATTATATGCCCAAACCTACAAGATATATTATTTCATGGGACATTTGGTCATCAGAGTAAGAATGATAAATATATGTTATGTGGAGTGTGATTTGGACAATGACAGAGATGGAAATCAGCAAGACCATTTAGGAGGTTTTTATAATAGTCCAGGAAAGAAATGAGAAGGGTCTGTTCTAAGGTGGGTGTGTGTGTACCTGGACAAAAGGTATAGATGCCAGAGATGTTGTGGGGATTGAAAATAATTGCAGCTTAGATGCTTGGATGAAGTGGTAGGGAAATTCCATAAAAAACTTGGTAAGACATTCAAAATCAAAGTAATATACACCCTAAAGCTCAGTGACTTCAATCCAAAGGTGGGAAAAGGCAAGGATGGGGAGAACTATGTGGGAAATATGGTTCAGGAGAAAGAAATGATAAAGTCCAGAGGCTTATGGATTATGCAGAAGCCTGGCTTTTCCATATAATGAACATTCCCCTCCCCAATAAAGTTTTATGAATTCTTTTCTTTCTATTTTCCCTCAATATTTTTATTTTTTTTAACATTTGTTTTTTTAAAAAAATTTGAGTTCCAAATTCTCTCCTTTCATCCAAATCCTCCCGCACTCATTGAGAAGGTAAGCTATATGATACCCATTATATATGTGAAGTCATGCAAAACATTTCTGTATTAGCCATGGGTTCTTTTCTAAGAAAGAGTCTCCTTTCCCTATGCCAAGATCATTCAGGATTCTTCAGAAGATGTAACACTAAATAAATCTTGTTCATTGACCTTTTGATAATCGAAGGTTAAGTGAAGTA